CTTTCTGTCACCCATGTCAGGAGTTTTGCTTGTCAGCAGCCTGAGGTGTAGTTCCCAAAAAACCCCTGCACCTATCTCCTTGAAAGCTAGCAGGCTTTGTGGCCTCAGCAGGGGCTACCATCCCTACAGTTTTCGCCCCCCTTTGCCTTAACAGACACACGTGACACGAGTTTTGTTTTCAAGGCTGATGTGCAGTTTCCCAGAAACCCCTCCACCTATTTCCTTGAAACTTGGCAGAATTCATGACCTCAGAAGGGGCTACCATCTCTGCAAGTTTTATCTGAATCAGGCAAGAAATGACAAAGTTATAGGCAGTTTTGTGTTTCCCCATTATAGCCTGTGGGCTGTGTAATGTTGAAACAGTAAAACAGTTTCAGTTAAATGAAACGGAACAGTAGTTTCAAAACTAAATGAAACTCGAAACAAAACACTGCCCCTTCAAAAAGTTGAAACAGAAGTCGAAACAAAATGGTGCTGTTTTGCACATCCCTAATAAGTATGTGACATTATGCTTTGTGTTCAGATCTAGCTTTGTTGCTCTGGTCTGAATGTAGGGCCCCCTCTACACATGTCAGTAAAGATGCAGTTGGATCTAATGCAGGATCCACACAATTGCACCTGCTCTGCCACATGTGCGTTGCAGCAGGTACAATGTGGGATCACATATTAGATCCAATCGCACATTTATTGCCAGTGTAGGGGGCCACACACAGCCAGGAACATGTGTTCCCACAAGTGATGGGGCTCTTGGTTCCAGCTGCATCTCACGTGAGGTACAGCTAGGGCCAGGAGCCCCATATGGACCAGGGTTTTCTCACACCCCTAAACCTTGGGAATCATGCCAGTCATAATCCCCAAGGCTCAGGGTTTTCATGCTGGGCATGATGCACCCCTGCAGCTGGAAGTCCTGCCAGCTGATAGGGCTCCCAGCCACAGGGTGCTGTTACACATGCAAATTAAAGCTTAATAGCAACCAGCTATAAAGTTAGTACACATTTTTTAGGTTTAACTTTATAGCTGGTTGGAGCTTTTTATTATGTGGTAGGTACTTTGGACGTATAGCTGGTCTTAAGTTAACTGCATAATTAAGTTAATTACATGATGCCTGTAATGTGGAGAAGGGGCTTGAATGTTACAGACTTACTCCCCCACCATAATACTAAAGAATATGTGGTATCACCTGCCATCTTTCTGTTGCAGTTAATCTTAAATTATGTGAGTCTCTGGTTGGGATTATGGAGTAAATTGCCTCAGTTTATACTTTTTAAATGAAAACATCCAGGCATTGGACTTTTCTGCCTCCCTTTCAGTGTCGTACTCCCACTTTTCATTTAGCATTCAGCAGCTGTTTTTGCCTGTGACTACATGCGTCTCTACGGGTAGACAGGTACTGACAGAGAGAGGTAGCTAGCAGGGTTAATCTGAAGTCAGGCAGAAGGCAGGACAGATTTGCACATTATAGACTCATCATCATTGACAATCCTTCGCAGTTGAGGATGATTGTCTTCCATGATCGCCTTGTCTGTGGCCTGAAGGCCCATGCTGATTGTTAGCTAATAAAAACCTATGATTCTAGACTAGCCTAGGGATTGACATGACACATCATTTGATGAGTGACAGAAAGGCTTTATTTACTACAAGTATTCGAAGTCAGATGAGCCCAAACCAAAGCAAAGCCCAGTAATTAGCTATAAGGTGATGATTTTTCACCAAACAGGCAGCGAGAGAAATGGTCTGTTTCTTCCAGCTTCTCGAGCTTGCTGGGGCACAGCAGCAGTTCTTTTCAGAGACCTTTTATTCCTGAAGTGCGTGCTGTTAGCTGTTTTCACTTCATTCTTATACCCTTAGATACCAGCATCTTCAAAGCATTCTTGTAGTTGTGTAAATCGAGAGAGAGTAATTGACAGGAAAATCCTGTTAATCAAACTGCTCATTATTGGTTATCAGAAAGTTCCAATTTGAATGAATTGCCTGCCTTGGTGACGAGAGGTTATCCAGTTCTACTAAGTTTGGAACATATCAAGAAACTGATTAACAACCAGGTAAAACACAAGGTGTTGGAGAGTGTCCCTGGAAAATCAAGGGAACCTGTAACGAAAACGGAAGTAAACCAGGAGGAGACATCTGTCCCATATGGAGAATGACTCTTTCTGTTCATAACATAAGTTAATTGCAAAAGAAATATATACCGTACTAATCAACCATGGATAGACATTTCACATGGTTACATACCAGACAACTAGGAGCCTGCTTGAAATCTTCTTGAATATAGTAAGATAAGCTGGAAGGGATACCTCATTATTTCTTCTTAGGTGGCCTAGCCATGAACTTGCATCCTCTTGCACTGTGCAGTTGGCCTCAGTATTTTGTATTTTAATTTTTGAGAGTAGGCCCCAGCTTAGCATGAGTTTCAGAGTCATTGCCAGGGATTCTGGATTTCCCTGGTAAAATCATTTCAAATTTTCTGATAAAACCCCCCAAATCTGAGACTTAAATTTAAAGGCCTCCCACAGCCCCCACAGCCCTGCTGGTGCCCCTCACTCCCCCCACAACAGCTACCCTACCCTGCTCATGCCCCTTGCCCCCCACCCACAGCCCCTGCCCCCCAGCCCTGTCAGAGGGGCCCTCAGCTGCCAGGGCTTTGGGGCCAGGGACCCAGCAGATGGCAGTGGCTGCTGCAGCAGAAGCAGCACAGAGCTGGCCCCCGCATTGTTGCAGGCTTGGGTGGGGGCGGGGCTGACTCCTGATCCC